GGAACTTATCTCTAGAATGACCTCATCATGAAAAGGACCCTTTGAAAGTACCCCTTTTTAGTCAGAGGCCTCTTAGCATATCTTATATCATAAACAGCATGTCAAATATCTGTATTACTCTCAGACAATTAAGTTCCAATGATCTCATATATACAGAAATATCTTGAATTTCAAAGCAAATTTCCACTTGATCTGAACATATATTTTGACATGTTTTAAGTTCATTGCACAACTATGTCATGATAACTTAATATCTATGATCTGTACCCATTCATTCGACCACACAAGTTCAAGCATACGTATATTAACTAAATATCACAGCATGACCATAAGCCTACACACATTGACAAACACAAAGACTGCAGTAGAACAGGAATACTTAGAATACCCTCACAGGTGCCACATCATCTAGATGTGAATCAACAGGCAAACCCATCACTGGAGAAAATATGCTAAGGGAGATAATTCAATAAGGGGAGATAACTCTGCTGCAAGTGGGATCTGTTTGTGCTTTCAGCACACATCTCAGTCATGCATATAACTATCTTCTGGCCGGCCATGTCAATTCTTCATTCTATTGCACTGCACTGGATCTCGATTCAGCTACCTTTTAGATAGAAACATCTCTATGGTCCTGCTCCATCGCCTTGTCACAGTTTTAGAGTTACTTTTCAGAAACATATCAAGACAAAAATATTTGTCTGAAATCATGGCAGTGATAGTGTTGAGTTCCTTCAAAACACATACAAATATAATGGTGAGAACTTCAGCATACATGATCAGGTCCATGATAAAATGAAATTATATGCCATTTATTTAAAAATTACTGTCACAGAAAAATCAAAGGTCAATAGAAAACTGATTCAGAGTTGATTTTTTAAAATAAAGTGACAATGGAGAGGGTAAATGTAAGGAAGCACTGAGTCTTGCCAATCTGCTTGAGGTATTTACCCTCACATCGTTAAAGTAGTGAGTCCCATATGAAACACATCAAACAGCATCAGGCCTATTCTTTCTGATCATCTAGCCCTGAACATGGATGTTGGAGAAGGTTATGGACATCAACAGTTACTGATACTTACTGGGTGTTACAAGCATGATAAGGTGATACGAGCCATTAGAATATATTCAAAGACATGGCTGAGTAGTTTCATAACCACCAAACATTATATAAGATTGGCGTCCTCTATAGGGGCTACAGCAAGAAACGAGTTCTCAGTGAACAGACCAGCAGACGACAACTCTCCACACAGGCTAACAGAGGTAAACCTTCAGGCCAGACAAATACTGCCAACAGATAGAAGACCAGGAAACACAGATGTGTGACCAAACTTATAAAATTCCTGATAATAGAGTATTATATACAAACAGCTCTCGCTGTACATGCAAAATGAATTGCTCACAAATTTACAATACTGAAACCATAGCAACAGGTTTGACACTTATTAAATGGACATGGGTACAACATATCCACCATTAGCTTACCCCAGTACACACTATATTTTTACAGAATTCAAATACGTGCACATCAGCACATCATCAAATAATATCCTTCCTATCAGTATAGTGACTACAAGTCATTTCCTCTCCACAATATCAAACAATGATATCTACATACTGGCTAACACTGAAATTGCTCATGCAGAAGTATATGATAAGATAATTTGTACAAGAAAATTCAATATGGATGGCATGGACTGTGAGCAATGTGTAGTGAAAGGTTTGTGCAAGCAAGGCAATTGTATCAAAATATTCTTATCTCTACTTCTAAAGTCAATATCACAAGTATGCCTATTTCAAGAAGTTCACAAATATGTCTATTTCAAGAAGTTTAAAAACGTGATAGAAAAGTCAAAGCCTACTCTTACATACAAAACTTGAGCCGCTAGGTTATGTAGCTCACCTACAACTTTAATACACATTAACTACAATTTAGTACAAATATCTGAAATGATTACTGAAAATTACTTCAAAAGATTCTTCAAAGGATAAATTATTTTTGAAACTTGTTTAGGACAACATCATTGAATAAAAATAAAACTTCAAACTTTTTATGGTCATTACCTCCACACAAAGTTTAATCCCTAAGTTTAATATTATATCACATTTGGTTATAACAAGATGACTTCATAACAAGGAACCTGAATGCCAAATTTCAAATTAAGCAGTATCAGAGAACCCAGTAGCATCCCAGAGCTTGGTAGAAGTACAATGGTCAGTGTAGGGGTTACTCAGGGTCACAAAGTCATGTGTCTTAAGTGGCCTGCCACAAGTTAGAGATTCTATTACAAGTGCAGTTGGTCCCCAGCCCTCAATCGCCAAAGCAATAGCTGTTTTGGGTTCACCAACCAAGATGTTTACCAACACGCATGACAAATTGGCAGTTAGGACCTGTTGGAACTTGTTTTAGGGAGGAATATCAGAGTAACTCTGAATTCTTTTAAATGGGAACCAAGGTCCACTATTTTCCAGGAATGTCGAGTTACTAGGATATTCCCAAACTTAAAACACATCCAACTTCCACATTTCAACAAAACATTGCCTTGTGGAATACATAATAATTATAAACCAGAACCTGGTGTTTATACTGGAGTTGACCTTGTATGATGAACCTGTTTCCCCAAGTTCCCTTACCAACTGATGTTTATAACTCTTTATAACTTAGTGGGGTCCTGATTAGTAGTCAGTAAAGTTTGAGACGAGATGAATGATGACAACACCACAATATAAACTCGCCTGACATTTGGTAAGGGGAGCTAACAAACTTCTAACAGTTCAGATACCTTCTTGGAAAAAACTTTTTTTTATCTCTGAGTTATTTGAAAATTTCTCATTTCGAGGTACTCTTGTCCACATCACTGCTATAGGATAGGAAGGACAAGAACTGCAACTTGACACTGATCATAAAATGGGATGTATTGATTGGGACAAAATATGGACAGGGGGCAGCTGAAGAAAACACAAATCTAGGCTTGGAATTATCTCCCTCTATCAGCTGAAAGGCATCCATTTTGCACAGACTATTGCCAACAACAGAAATTGCAAATCTGTTCAAGTTTGAACTTAATTTCCTGTACTTTCACTCAGTTCAGCAAGGTTCAAAGTCCTCATCTGGAGTTCCAATGCTGAACATGAAGTGGGATTCCTGAACATCTTTCGGAGAGACTACTTCATCCACACATGGGATTAAGGATTCACTTGTCATTCACATTACCTGAGGGCATATCATGCACCAGTATTGAACAGGTGCTTGTGTAATTTGATGATCCGCAGTTATACTGAGCAGCCGATAGTTCAAATGTTTAGGAGTGTTGGTTCTACTCATGATGGGGTGTCTGCTGATGTTGGTAAGAAAGGTTTTAGTCACATTCCACTTTGGTTTAACCCTTGAACTTGGGATGGTCCTGACAAACCTATGTCCATAATTGGGGCCAAACACACAGATGAGAACATAGCAAGAGTGGATCCTGCCGTGGATACAGGGCACAACTCAGCCCAATTGTCCATCCATGCTCCCATATGCAGGAAATTGACACACATTTGTCACAAGGAAGTCAGTAAACCAACTGAAAAATATCTGACAGCCTGGCTTGAGGTAAAGAGAAATATCTATATTACAGAAACTATAGATCAGAGAAACAAAGAACACCTTCAAGGAATCATATCAACACTCTCAACCACCAAGAAATCCCATCTTCACAAGTTAACTATTTGGTTCCACGGCCTTTGACAAACCTAAAGTTTCACTGAAACAGTTCCATGAGTTCAGATACCTTTCACACGACAATCACACAAAATAAATAAACACATCTCGCATATATCAACAATGCAACTTGACAGGTGGCGATGCACCACATAAAATTCACAGACAATATATATATATATATGTGTAACAGGCATGCTTTTAAAGATGCGTCATGGTACAAATTGAACTTCTGCATTTCCACAGAGAACATTGGAGTGGAACATGTTTTTTATCATTCATACCATTGTAAGTCACAGTGATTACTAAGAACATAATAAGAACATACTGAAAACAAAATGGTCTTTGCCTTAATATTGTTCAGAAATCAAAATGGCAGTCTTCAGAACAGAATATCACAAGATTGAAGAATCTGAGCTGTGGTCTTGGTATGTGTCCTTTCACTGAATAACCAGGACTATATGGTGTACATCTCACACAGTCACATTACAACATTGAACCTGTGAAGTACACGAAGCTTATTCCTTTCTCCAAACAAAACAATATTGATTTGCTTGATAAGTTCTGGTTGAAATGATATAGAAATTCCAGGAAATACTGAGATGGAAGATCAGCTGCAGTAATCACATCAGCATTGGTCAAAATGTACAGAGATCCCAAACAGTCAGTCTTGAGACATAGTATCCTTGACTAAAGGCTTGTTTAATGATGGCCGAAGAACCATGTTTACACCAGGTTCCAGCCATCCCCAGATGTGATGTCCCTCACACAGGACACTTGCCCAATGTCCAGATTCACTGATGCTCTCTGTAATGAGGCGACCGACATACCAGAGCTCCATTCTACAAAGCAATCGTAGAAGTCCGACTATCCTAGCCTATGTTAACGTATGAAATACACAATGACATTTTAGAAAGTGGTCAAAGGAAACATATGTTATATTTGGGATTACACTTTCTTAGTAAAGTACAGATTCTAGTACATTTTTGGGTTGAGTCCCATCCGGGATTCGAACCCACATCCTCAGAGTCAGGCACCTAATCGCTTAGACCACTTACCAGTTGTCCGACTTCCATTTTTGTGGAAGCCGCTGTGGCTGAGCTGGTCTAAGCGTCTGATTTTGTGTGCTGGCGATTAGGTGCCTGACTCTGAGGGTGTGGGTTCGAATCCCGGATGGGACTCAACCCAAAAAAGTACTAGAATCTGTACTTTACTAAGAAAGTGTAATCCCAAATATAACATATGCTATGTTAACGTATGGTAGTTGAATCAGCCTTGCCCTAAGATTTCTTTGTGGAATGAGACCCAGGGTTATAAGCTGATTCGGTAACATGACACTAGAATCACTACCAGAATGACATGCCTGGGTTAAGTGCTAATCCCACATATAATCTTCAACAGGTTGATAATGCTTGAATCTGAACACTGGGCAGTCTCCTCCATCTGTTTTAAACATCCTCTGAACATCCTCAATACATCCTTCAAGAATGGATTCACTAATATTTCTCAAGAGTACAATTGGCATCAAGACCACATTAGATCTCCAGGAACAAGTCTTGAAGCCTGATTGGAGTATGAGTGATCACAACCCCTTCCTCTACTCTGATGACCACACAGATTGTCACTTTGTTCGAAACATGATCCGGAGAGTTTGAGGTATAGGGTTAAGTACTGTATCAAGTCATCAGTGTTCCAGCTATATATCCAACAGTATACATGTTCACATAAGTAGATGTAATGAAGACCATCAGATCCTATTTGGTTCACAGCCATAAAGATGAATACACTTCTCTCAGGTCTCTCACACACATCACTTTGTTCATTCCACTCTCAACAGCAGGGCATACAACATGGTGGAGCCTCGCTCCTTCGTGGACCACTCCAGCTCGCTGTTGTTAAACTTGGGATCGATGGGGTCGCTGGCCTCTATGGTCTGTGGGCCGACCTTGTACGACCCTGGTTTCACCCACACCTGGAATGCAACTCGTGCCTGGTACAGTTTCTTGGTTTTGATGTCTGTAAATCTGAAACATGAACACAGTTTAATAAATTATTTGAGTTCTTGCTTGTTAATTTACATCACACATAGCAACATTCCATCTAAATGACGATGACATGTCATGACCAGACAAATCAGTGAGTGTGTGGTGATCCATCCCTTTGGAGTATGGCATCTGGAATGGTGATCTGGAATGTTCATCTGTGTTTTGATATTCCTACCAATGACCTGACACCCCTACCTGTTATCTGGTATGCTGAAGTGAGATCTGGTAAGCCAATGTGAGATCTAGAATGCCTACCTGTGTTTTGGTGCGAACTCCGAGGATCCTGCGTATCGTATTGTAGGGGAGAAGAAGATCTGCTGGCCCCCGAAGCTGTCTGGCTTGGCTTTCTCTGTGAACACCTGTGGCTGTGGAATGAGGATGCTCTTCCCCCCTGCTGGGTCACCTGGGGATGAAAGATAGAGTTAGTTGTTTTCTTCATGCAGCTACCTCACTACTGAGATCTGTACAAGGTCACTGGGGTACACTGCAACACTGCCTGTCCACTACCTTTGTTAGTCTGATATAAGTATCCATGACACTGCATTGTATTTGGGTTGCATCAAGATGCATTACTCTGTTGAAAAATGCAGGTAGTGGACATTTACAACTAATGAAGTATTACCCTTGATCAGACAAGTACAGTGAAAGTGATCCTGAAAAAGTGAAATTCTTAGTGTTGAGTATTTGCTTAGTATGTGTTGAGTGTGTGTTGAGAATGTGTGAGTATGTGTTGAGTATGTGTTGAGTATGTGTTGAGAATGTGTGAGAATGTGTGAGAATGTGTATGTTTTGAGTATGTGTTGAGAATGTGTTGAGTATGTATTGAGAATGTGTGAGAATGTGTTGAGTATGTGTTGAGAATGTGTGAGAATGTGTGAGAATGTGTTGAGTTTATGTTGAGTATGTGTTGAGAATGTGTGAGTATGTGTTGAGTGTGTGAGAATGTGTTGAGTATGTGTAGAGAATGTGTTAGAATGTGTCAAGTATGTGTTGAGAATGTGTCGAGAATGTGTTAGAATGTGTAAAGTATGTGTTGAGAATGTGTGGAGTATGTGTTGAGAATATGTGTGTGAGTGTGTGAGAATGTGTTGAGAATGTGTTGAGAATGTGAGAATGTGTTGAGAATGTGTGAGAATGTGTGTGTGTGTGAGTCTGTGTTGAGTATGTGTTGAGAATGTGTTGAGAATGTGTGTTTGAGTTTGTGAGTATGTGTTGAGAATGTGTTGAGAATGTGTGTGAGAATGTGTTGAGTATGTGTTGAGAATGTGTGAGAATGTGTGTTGAGTGATGTGTTGAGATGAATGTGTGTTGAGAATGTGTGAGTATGTGTTGAGTATGTGTGAGTATGTGTTGAGTATGTGTGAGTGTGTTGAGAATGTGTTGAGTATGTGTTGAGAATGTGCTGAGAATGTGTGTGAGTATGTGTTGAGAATGTGTGTGAGAATGTGTTGAGTATGTGTGTGAGAATGTGTTGAGTATGTGTTGAGAATGTGTTGAGTATGTGTATGAATATGTGTTGAGAATGTGTTGAGAATGTGTTGAGTATGTGTTTGAGTATGTGTGAGAATGTGTTGAGAATGTGTTGAGTATGTGTTGAGAATGTGTGAGAATGTGTTCAGTATGTGTTGAGTATGTGTATGTGTTGAGTATGTGTAGAATGTGTTGAGTGTGTGAGAATGTGCTAGAATGTGTCAGTATGTGTTGAGTATGTGTGAGAATGTGTGAAATGTGTAGATTTTGAGTATGTTTTGAGTATGTGTTGAGAATGTGTTGAGAATGTGTGAGAATGTGTGAGAATGTGTTGAGAATGTGTGAGAATGTGTTGAGTATGTGTTGAGAATGTGTGAGAATGTGTTGAGTTCATGTTGAGTGTGTGAGAATGTGTTGAGTATGTGTTGAGAATGTGCTAGAATGTGTCGAGTATGTGTTGAGTATGTGTTGAGAATGTGTTGAGTATGTGTTGAGTATGTGTTGAGAATGTGTGTGAGTAGTATGTGTTGAGTATGTGTTGAGTATGTGTTGAGAATGTGTGAGTATTTGTTGAGAATGTGTGAGCATTTGTTGAGTATGTGTTGAGAATGTGTGTGCTGAGTATGTGTTGAGTATGTGTTGAGTATGTGTTGAGTATGTGTTTGTGTTGAGTATGTGTTGAGTATGTGTTGAGTATGTGTTGAGTATGTGTTGAGAGTATGTGTTGAGTATGTGTATGTGTTGAGTATGTGTTGAGTATGTGTTGAGTATGTGTTGAGTATGTGTTGAATATGTGTTGAGTATGTGTTGAGTATGTGTTGAATATGTGTTGAATATGTGTTGAGTATGTGTTCAGTATGTGTTCAGTATGTGTGAGAGTGTGTTGAGAATGTGTTGAGTATGTGTTGAGTATGTGAGTATGTGTTGAGTATGTGAGTATGTGTTGAGTATGTGTTGAGCATGTGTTCAGTATGTGTTGAGCATGTGTTGAGAATATGTGAGTATTTGTTCAGTATGTGTTGAATACTTGTTAAGTAGAGAGGTGAGTACAGCTCACATACCTGGCAGTAAGAGATCACCGTAGTCCAGAATCCGCCTCACCACCTCCACCCTGGTCCCATGGTACGCAGCGTGCCACTTCTCAAACACATTCAGTGAGTGGGCTTTACAGGGAGCTCTGCAAGACAGAAACACCAGCATTATGCAAAATCTCCCTGGCTCTTTCAGGGGAGACCCTGGTTATTCTTCTTATGGTAAAAAGCTTACACAGCCTTTGCATTATCAAGATTTTACATGTGTGATGTTTTTACATTAATTTGAATAAATAAGACTTAAATAGCTCATTGCAGCTCATTAAGAGTAGAGGCTTATGTAGAAAGCAACCAGTTTCCCTGGACGTTCACTAGTCTCAACTCAGTATTTCAATTCTAGGTTACTACAGACTTAAGCTGGTTTTACAGTGCTAGCTCACTGAGATACCATGCCACAGTTAAGCATGAATACCCCACTCAGACACATTATACTGACTCCCGAGCCGACCAGTCCTTGTTGTACCTATTAATGCCAGCGCCAGGCAGGCACCAGCAAGTACCATATTTTAACACCGTTTGGTATGACGCAGCCAGGGATCGAACCCCTGACCTACCGCTCACCGGGCGGACGCTCTAACCACAACACCACGCAGGCATCTCTTTGATACAGGATGACACATGAATGATTTGTAAACTTGAAAACGTAACTTCTCATTTCAACAGTTTAGAGACAGCTCACCTGAGCACAAATCGGCACCAGCCGAAAGGTATAGCATAATCACTGGGGGGATCCCCCCTCCGCACGTAGAAGTCGTCTCCCCCTCATCTTATGACAGGTCTCACAGTAGCACATGTTGTACTGCATGTCGAAATACCCATCTGAAATAACACAATACAGATTGGTTGTTCTTTTATTTATCTGCAATATTCATACAAATCTATAAGACAGAGCTTGATATAATGAAGCATATGGGTGTCTCCCTGAGTCTGACCACCAACTCTATTAGTCTGCTCTCATGACCTGGACACGTTCCTGGGTATCAATTCTAACCCGATATTGCAGTTTTCCTTCAAGAAAAGCATGAAGACCTATTCCTACCAGGTTTGGAATGTAAGAAAACATGAGTCATGTAGCTTCAGTTAGCATGACACAACAGCTTCACTGATATCGTATACCAACTCCTGTGTTGATTAGCTTCTTTGAAGTGGTATATTAAGAATATTTTCACATAAACAACAGGAACAGAAATAAAGTGCAGTCTCTACAAAACAACATTGGCAGTTCTAAGTGAGTACAACATTTGTTTTACCTGGTAAGCCCAATGACGTGCGTAGTCTTGAGCAAAGATTCTGATATTCACAGTTCCTCATGACTGACAGGTCACACACCATCCTGCCTCCCTGCTTCTCCTTCACCACTGCAACAAACCAGTCACATTCACGAACATCATGCAGGGTACTGTATCTCCATTCTATTCCAAAACAAACAGCCTCAATCCACCTGGTTCAGATTGGAAATGAGGTCACCATTTCAACCATTAATTATGCACTTCATTCTGATTGGTCAGAGTTTTTCAAATAGCACGATCAAACACTGGTCATTTCAGTCACTCATGATTGTTTTGCTAAATACCCTGTACCTTCTCTTTACTGAAGGATGGTGTCAGGGAGTGACATAAACATCTCAATCTGTCTTACCATATCTATTTCTTTTTCTCAAATGTGTGTCTGAACTTCTCACACTGTACACCCCTGCATGATGTCTAAGATCCCAGAATCATCACTTACATGCAGTCCCTGAAGTCAGACTTGTCTCCTATGGCCAGAGGACCTTTGCTTACACTGCAGCATTGCTTTGGAATTCACTGCCAGCTGACGTCAAATGTGCCGAATCACTGAACTCTTTCAAGTCCCTTCTAAATACTCATTACTTCTCCATAGCTTTATCTTAGATCCTTTCTTCCTTTTTAACTCCAACTATTTGTAGTGTCATGTATACATTGTACATAGCTTTACCCTTTTTGTAGCGCCTTGAGCAAGCATTGAATGCACGGATACAGGTGCAGTTATAAATACCCACTATTATTATTATTATTATTATTATTATTATTAAAAGAGCAATTTGACTGCATTTCCTGTCAATATGTGTCAGGTAACCACTCACCATCATCAATGTCTGCCTTCTCTCGGTCGTCGCCAACGTTGAGGGGCGGCATGTTCCCTTCCTCACTTACTATTGTCACCTGCAAGGCCAAATAATGTTTGAAATACTTAGAAAGTTGCACACTACAATATCCACACAATGTATAGCCCCCCCTGAGCAAACCATGACCATGCAGATCAACAGCAGTACCCTGAATGTAATATTGCCAAATTTCAATTCAATCAGGTAAAAAGTCGATTGTTTTATGGCCACCAACAACACCTGTATTCCTCAAAGGACTTGTACTGCTTTTAGACTGGCAAAGCTGGAGCTGTATCCAACAACCGATGACCAACAACCCAGAGGTGAGTCAGTGACTTGGATTTGAACAGTCTGCCGGGACAAACATGGCTCTGAGCATCATTTTCAGTCAAGTTTTGAGTAATCATATGGATTATTATAGCTGAAACAGATGTTTGGGTTTACACTTTCTCAGTGAAGTAGAGAATCTAGTACTTTTACTGAGAAAAGTACCATTTCAGTTGCATTGTGTATTCAGAGATTAAGCTCTGAATTAGCTGAGCCGTACTAGACTGATCAGAATTTTACTAGACGCAGAATTCACATGAGTGGTTAAAGTGGCAGACTGTCAACAGATGATTGCCGACTTGTCAGCATTAAGGTCTATGGTACTTTTACCATTCAAGGGGCAATGGGGTAGCCTAGTGGTTAAAGTGTTCGCTCGCCACGCTGAAGACCCAGGTTCAATTCCCCACATGGGTACAATGTGTGAAGCCAATTTCTGGTGTCCCCCGCCGTGATATTGCTGGAATATTGCTAAATATGTGTAAAACTGAACTCACTCACACTCACACTCATTTACCATTCAAGTGAAACCCACAATCACTAGATTAGTCATGACAAACCTTAAAACATAAACAAGAACAATTGTGTAGTAATGCCAACAAAAGACAAAAAATATAGCTTCTAGACCTTAACTGAACTTTTCTACAACAAGGAAAGGTGTTATATACATCAAGGTCCGATATTGTCATCCTCTTTTATGTCATCTAAATTTTAACAATCGGATATATATTACCTGTTCACATTGGCCATACAAGTCGATCATTCAGAAACAAGGTGTAGGGACGTCTCTGACTGCAACACCCTGGTCGACTCCGTTGATGTAGAGATGGAGGCAGTTCTCGTCATCAACCAGTAGACCCACGTACTGTCCCACTTGTAGGCTATCCAAGTTGCAGGCCAAGCGGTCTCGCACCTGATAACAAGTCAACATCACATCTGATAGTACAACATGGGCTCTTGCTCCATACAAACACGGCTTGTAACTCTCACTGAAACCTGTATGGCAGTACCACACCTGAATGGTGCATAATGGTGCATAAGGTGACACTTTCTCACTCTTACAGTTAACGGATTCAATCAACTGGAACTATCTTGCACCTAAAGGAGATGACGTCCCAATGTATCAGTTTGTCACAGTTCCCTCCCTTGCACCAAAAGGAGAAGACAATGTCCCCATGTATGTCACAGTTGCCTCCCTTGCACCAAAAGGAGAAGACAATGTCCCCATGTATGTCACAGTTGCCTCCCTTGCACCAAAAGGAGAAGACAATGTCCCCATGTATGTCACAGTTGCCTCCCTTGCACCTGTATGACACAGTTGTGTATGTCTCCCTTGCAGGAGGAAGACAATGTCCCCATGTATGTCACAGTTGCCTCCCTTGCACCTAAAGGAGAAGACAATGTCCCCATGTATGTCACAGTTGCCTCCCTTGCACCAAAGGAGAAGACAATGTCCCCATGTATGTCACAGTTGCCTCCCTTGCACCAAAAGGAGAAGACAATGTCCCCATGTCACAGTTGTCCCCATGTATGGAGAAGACAATGTCCCAGTATGTCCTTCCCTCCCTTGCACCAAAGGAGAAGACAATGTCCCCATGTATGTCACAGTTGCCTCCCTTGCACCAAAAGGAGAAGACAATGTCCCCATGTATGTCACAGTTGCCTCCCTTGCACCAAAAGGAGAAGACAATGTCCCCATGTATGTCACAGTTGCCTCCCTTGCACCTAAAGGAGAAGACAATGTCCCCATGTATGTCACAGTTGCCTCCCTTGCACCAAAAGGAGAAGACAATGTCCCCATGTATGTCACAGTTGCCTCCCTTGCACCAAAAGGAGAAGACAATGTCCCCATGTATGTCACAGTTGCCTCCCTTGCACCAAAAGGAAGACAATGTCCCCAATGTCTCCTCCCAAAAAAGGAGAAGACAATGTCCCCATGTATGTCACAGTTGCCTCCCTTGCACCAAAAGGAGAAGACAATGTCTCCATGTATGTCATGCACCTATGTCCCCATGTATGTCAGTTGCCTCCCTTGCACCAAAGGAGAAGACAATGTCCCCATGTATGTCACAGTTGCCTCCCTTGCACCAAAAGGAGAAGACAATGTCTCCATGTATGTCACAGTTGCCTCCCTTGCACCTAAAGGAGAAGACAATGTCCCCATGTATGTCACAGTTGCCTCCCTTGCACCAAAAGGAAGACAATGTCCCCATGTATGTCACAGTTGCCTCCCTTGCACCTAAAGGAGAAGACAATGTCTCATGTATGTCACAGTTGCCTCCCTTGTAGAAAAGGAGAAGACAATGTCCCCATGTATGTCACAGTTGCCTCCCTTGCACCTAAAAGGAAGACAATGTCAATGTCCCCATGTCTCATGTCACAGTTGCCTCCCTTGCACCAAAAGGAGAAGACAATGTCCCCATGTATGTCACAGTTGCCTCCCTTGCACCAAAAGGAGAAGACAATGTCTCCATGTATGTCACAGTTGTATGTCCTCCTCCTTGTACCATGTAAGAAAGAGAAGACAATGTCCCCATGTATGTCACAGTTGCCTCCCTTGCACCAAAGACAATGGAAAGTATGTCCTCCCTTGCACAATGTCCCCATGTATGTCACAGTTGCCTCCCTTGCACCAAAAGGAGAAGACAATGTCTCCATGTATGTCACAGTTGCCTCCCTTGCACCAAAAGGAGAAGACAATGTCCCCATGTATGTCACAGTTGCCTCCCTTGCACCAAAAGGAGAAGACAATGTCTCCATGTATGTGTCCCTTGTACAGTTCCCTCCCTTGCACCAAAAGGAGAAGACAATGTCCCATGTGTATGTCACAGTTGCCTCCCTTGCACCCTTGTAAAAAGGAGAAGACAATGTCTTGCCATGTATGTCAATGTCTCCATGTTGCCTCCCTTGTACCAAAAGGAGAGACAATGTCTCCATGTATGTCACAGTTGCCTCCCTTGCACCAAAGGAGAAGACAATGTCCCCATGTATGTCACAGTTGCCTCCTTGTCACCAAAAGGAGAAGACAATGTCCCCATGTATGTCACAGTTGCCTCCCTTGCACCAAAAGGAGAAGACAATGTCCCCATGTATGTCACAGTTGCCTCCCTTGCACCTAAAGGAAGACAATGTCCCCATGTATGTCACAGTTGCCTCCCTTGCACCAAAGGGAGAAGACAATGTCCCCATGTATGTCACAGTTGCCTCCCTTGCACCAAAGGAAGACAATGTCCCCATGTATGTATGCACAGTTCAGTTGCCTTCCCTTGCACCTAAAGGAGAAGACAATGTCCCCATGTATGTCACAGTTGCCTCCCTTGCACCAAAAGGAGAAGACAATGTCCCCATGTATGTTGGCTCCCCTTGCCTGTCCTTGCACCAAAGGACAATGTCCCCATGTATGTCACACCTTTGCACCAAAAGGAGAAGACAATGTCCCCATGTATGTCACAGTTGCCTCCCTTGCACCTCCCTTGCACCAAAAGGAAAGGAGAAGACAATGTCCCCATGTATGTCACAGTTGCCTCCCTTGCACCAAAAGGAGAAGACAATGTCTCATGTATGTCACAGTTGCCTCCCTTGCACCAAAGGAGAAGACAATGTCCCCATGTATGTCACAGTTGCCTCCCTTGCACCAAAAGGAGAAGACAATGTCACTCTCCCCTTGCACCAAAAGAGTATGTCCTCCCTTGCATGTTGTCCTCACCCTCCCTTGCACCAAAAGGAGAAGACAATGTCCCCATGTATGTCACAGTTGCCTCCCTTGCACTAAAGGAGAAGACAATTAAAGGAGAAGACAATGTCCCCATGTATGTCACAGTTGCCTCCCTTGCACCTAAAGGAGACGACGTCCCAATGTATGTCGCTGTTGCCTACCTTGCACCCGCAGAGAGAAACACTGTCCCCATGTACGACTAGTGATGACTTTTTAATACTGATGGCTGAGACAGGGAAGTTGTAGCGTTCGCAGGAGAAGCCAAGGACGCCCAACATCAAGGAGGCACTCCAGCGGTGATTGAGCTTGTCAATCCGAACCTGCAACATGACACTTTAGCTTCATACTCCATGGCTCTCTCAGTAGTTTGTAATGTGTAACATATTGTTGTTGACAGAAACAGGTTTCAGTTTGTACATTAAGCATTTACCTCATGTGCTACAACCGATAGTTGGAAAGACTGTTTCTATTACTTCTATGGCTCACTACTGAAGGACTGAATGTTTTCTTTTCTTATTTTTTTTCAAGCCGAAATAGTGTCTATTTTGTGAGGTTGGTTTGTTTTTTTGTTACTCTACCAATTGTACATACACCTGCCATCCAAAGTTAGTAGTCACTTAGAAGTGATAAAAGTGCAGCTTTTCAGCCTTATGCAAGCCAAAACACTGTGGATGCCAGCGATAGACTTCACACAATGTGGAAAATCCCCCTGGTCTTCAGGAGCTGAAGGTGTCGCCAGTATAATGCCCCACAATACATTTCTCAGCCCCATAACTATAATGCGCGTGTACCAGTTCATCATCAACAAGCCCTAGTCTAAAATGCAAGCAAGGTCCAGTCTACCTGAAACAGTTTCTTGCGTGTGAGAGGTTTGTGTGACATGACGATGCCCTGGTTGTAGCTGGCCACCCGGCGTGCTGTCAGGTTGTTGTTGCTCAGCAGAATATTCTTCCCATGGTTACCATGGAAACTGGTAACACTTGCTGCCATTGTGTCGTGGTCCTGGTCTCGATCAGCCTGTACAGAAACCAGCGTGACGTGGAACATTCATGACCAAGTGTAGCTTTTGAGGCCATCCATACTGCTGTATGAATGATATATAGGAACAACTTGCGAGTGTCAGGGAATGGGGTTTGTGCAACTCATATCAGTTGTCCATGCGACCATACACACAGTAAATGGTAGCTAAGGTCAGGTGAAATGGGGTTTTATATCACACACTGTATTTGATGCATTTATATAGTGGCATGCATGAATGTTTCTGTCTGCTTACATGTGTTTGTGTGAGTGGGTGCACCTGTGTGTTCAAATGCAGGAGTATACCTTCTTGTATTAGCACAGGCAAGTACCATTTCTATAGCCCACTGTGACACTGTGCCACAGTTTTAACATGGATGCTCCAATCAGACACTGTACACAGACTCTGAAGCTACCAGTTTTAGTTTTATCCCACTGATACCAGACCGAGGTACATTAAGTTTTTTTGGTTTGGTTTTGTTGTTTAACGCAGCAATAGTCTGGGCCAGACAATCCAGTGATCAACAGCATGAGCATCGATCTACGCAATTGGGATATGATGACATGTGTCAACCCAGTCAGCGAGCCTGACCACCTGATCCTGTTAGTCGCCTCTTGCGACAAGCATGGGTTGCTGAAGATCAGTTCTAACCCGGACGCGTCGTTTGTCTTATGGACACCATGTACATCACTGGTAAATACACTGGACTTGTCAGTCTCTCACCTGGGAATCCACTTGGTCCAGGATGACAGGGGGAGACTTGGGGGTACTGGGGGTCTCAGCTATTGCACTGCTGATAATACTGACAGATTCCACCGATCCATACAGGTCTATCACAGCAAACACATTCTGCAGGAACACAATGGACAATACAATGTTAAACATTTACAGAAGGCTAATTAAGGAGCACTCAATGAATACTTCAAAGAAACATTACAGGATCCAAAGATAATCACAAGAGTATGGAGGCGTAAGACTGACTGACAGAGTTTGGTTTTACTCCGCTTTTAGCAATATTCCAGCAATATCACGGCGGGGGACACCAGAAATGGACTTCACACATTTTACCCATGTGGGGACTCGAACCCGGGTTTTCGGCGTGACGAGCCAACGCTTTAACCACTAGACTACCCCACCGCCCTGGAGGCGTAAGAAACTGAAGATGATCAACTGCCTGGCAGTGGCTGTCCTCAGACTCAGGCTGCAATGGAAGAATTTGTTTAGGTTATAAACCATTGACTTGATTACTGTGTTGATAAGGCTGACTCACCAACATGGAGCAACCACTGTGGTCAGACTGAAGAGAAATGTTGAACACAATGGACGGTGTTGCAGCAAAGTGACTCATGTGATTTAAATAGATATTCTGGCTGACATGTTTACCTTTGGAATGTTGGAAGCAGCTATTCCAAGATCCTCCCCATTTAGATAGATATGAAGAGTGCCATCCGAACACCTGCGGATACCGATTCTGTTTCCCACCTGACGAAAATAGAACAGCAAGTTTTTTAACAATGTTTAATATGTACAAATGCTGTAACTACATCTTACTTTTCAACAGGATTCCCCTTTACTGGAAGACTAGCTCCAGATCAATTGGCAGTTCCAGCCAGTGAGTGAGTGAGTTTGGTTTTACTCCGCTTTTGGAACTATCATAGGCAGGGGACATCAGAACTGGTCATCTCACATGGTACCTATGTCGGGAATCTAACCCAGGTGTTCAGCATTTACCAGCTACCTAGCACGATGCACCTCCAGCAAATAGGAATGAAGTCAACACAAAAACACTTGGTTGATCTGACTAATGCCCTGACGCTGATCAGTTTAGCACTTACCGCTTTACTTCACAGCACAGACATTCTCTCAGGCCAAGAAAATAAAACTGCCAAATCCTTTAACCACTCTTTCACACAATGTTCCACAACAAACACAAGAAGCCATCATCTGTCCCACTGTACCTCTAATCTCTCCAGAGATGGGGCATAGTTTTCTTTGATAGTTTTCCCTGACTTCTTCACCTCCGATCCTGAGACAATCCATGTGACCTTTGAGGTGATCTCCTCCGCGCTGGCTGGGATCTGAGAGAGGGGGGTAGAGTCCGAGATGGCCATGGTTGTCAGGCCGATATGTATTGACCCAGACCACTGGTTGGACACCTCCTCAACTTTGATCTGATGGCAAGAAAAGTTACCATGGTTACATGTGTCTTTTTAGCTACTTTTTGTTTTACATTACAAGGCAAAATTTCAACTATATTTGGAGTATTTCTTTCCTTTTGGGATTAAGTATATATTTTAGTGGCCTAAAAATGTTTACATCAGAAAATATGAGGATTGTATTTCTAAACTCTTTCAGCAAAATCTCTTGGTTTCCAAGAAGAATGGGCTTCAAACTGGCAACTAAAGTCATGCCACACTATATTTATCTGACCCACTCATCCATCCTGCAGACTGACTGACTGAGTTTGGTTTTACACCGCTTTAAGCAATATTCCAGCAATATCACGGCGAGGGGACACCAGAAATGGGCTTCACTCATTGTACCCATGTGGGGATTCGAACCTGGGTCTTTGGCGTGAAGAGCCAACGCTTTAACCACTAGACTACCCCACCACCCCCATCCTGCAGAAATAACATACTACAATGAAACTGTAGACTTCTCAAACTCACCTCAAATAGCTCATCATACTTGAGTGGCTCCAGAGCTGAACACCACCCCGTGGTTGAAGTTCCTCACTCGGTTAGCTGTGCAGCCATTGTTCTTTATCACAATATTCTTCCCACAACAATTACTAAATCTGTGTGTTATTTCTGAAATTATTAGAGAAGAGATTACATGCTGAGCACTAACTGATCATTCACTAGAAAACTTAGGATGTAAAATCATTAAGATGGACAAGTGTAGAGAATACAGAAGCCTGACAAACGGTTTAAAACTCGGTACAGTAAACAACTGGGGAGAGTTAACTTTCAACTTTCCATGCAATGTTAGGATAGAGATGCTAGCAGCTTTATCAAGCAAGTGTAAGGATAGAAATTATCCATGATGGTCTACTAGCCTGAATAATGAAACCACATCTAGCAATAAACCATTAGATGTTTGAAAGGGTACCTTCAGCATTAACTAAACTGGTCTAAGCCAGCAAATGAGTGCTAATTATTGCAAGTAAAGTGCAAAAGCTCTCAAAGAAAAACAACCCTCCCTTGCTTGATGATGCTACATATAGCACATCTCCCTCAGGCAACACACTGCCCTGTTGACTCTGAGTAACATTCTCTTTGTATTCTGAGTGCAGAATTGTCTTACTGGAAACACTCATAAAATCTCCATTATCCAAATTATTGCATCATTTAAGGAATTATATTGCCAGGATCAGACAATATTTTGTACTTTTCAAAAGTCTGCAGAAACAAAGACCAACCTGGCAAAAGTTGCAGTAAGAATTAAAGGAAATGTCAACTGCCTTCCCTGACCTCATATCAGTCCAGTGGATGTATTTCAATTTTAGATTAACAGTCCAGGCTTTCATTTTTCTGAGACACTGATTATCAACCAAACTGTCCTGGTGATCTTTTCAACTTTGTTAGTGACATAGAGAAATATCCCATCTGATAAAATAATGCAGATGTCCCCAAGTCATCTGTTTCCCTTACACATGGTACTGACCTGAATTAAGAGCTGATGAAAGACTCTGTTCAATGTCAGCTATGACGATATGGTTGTCTGTCGGAAGCACACCTGACCCGCTGGTGATGCTCACCTGGGCACACTGACCATACAGGTCAACCACGGCGTACACACCTGGCAACACAAAACAACATACTTACATCATGGTGACCAACAGGTGGGTAATGAGATGCTCACCCGTGGGGACCCGTTATGATCATGTGACCAATAGATTAGGTCAATGTTATTCTTTCATGATAAAAGGTTGTATTGTCTTTGAAGATTTAGACATAATTTACAGTCACTTCTTTTGAACATAATACATGGTTAAGATATTGAAAAACCCAAAATTTCAGGTTCCGAGAATTTGATGTCAGAAACTAACATAACAATTATACCGGGTAGGGAGGGAATGGGTTTGTTTTTTTTTTTGTTTTATAAATGGGGGTAATAGGGATAGGGTAATAGGGGGTGGGGTTAACATTGTGTCTACCTAGAACATTGTGGTGTAATAGGGTAGGGTAATAGGGTGGTGCACAGGGTGGAGTGTAGGGTGGCTGGTGTGGAGTGTGTGTGTTTTGGTCCTGTGACTTGCTCTACCCATTAATGCCTACCAGGCAAGGACCAACAAGTATTTTTAACATTGTCTAACCCGACCTTCCCCTCTCTGGTTTTATTTGAAATGGATTCTGCCATCTTCATAAAATCAGCTTGACGATGACTGCCTCTATCTTACAAACATGTGTCTCTACCAAGTTACCACGCATTACCTGTGACTTGTCAACCTAGAACATTGTGTTGTATCTACCTGGAACATGACCTGTGACTTGTCTACCTAGAACATTGTGTCTACCTGTGACTTGTCTACCTAGAACATTGTGTCTACCTGTGACTTGTCTGTACTACCTGGAATGTGTCTACCTGTGACTTGTCTACCTAGAACATTGTGTCTACCTGTGACTTGTCCACCTAGAACATTGTGTCTACCTGTGACTTGTCCACCTAGAACATTGTGTCTACCTGTGACTTGTCCACCTGGAACATTGTGTCTACCTGTGACTTGTCTACCTAGAACATTGTGTCTACCTGTGACTTGTCTACCTAGAACATTGTGTCTACCTGTGACTTGTCTACCTAGAACATTGTGTCTACCTGTGACTTGTCTACCTAGAACATTGTGTCTACCTGTGACTTGTCCACCTAGAACATTGTGTCTACCTGTGACTTGTCTACCTAGAACATTGTGTGTGACTACCTGAACACTTGTCACCTGTGACCTAGAACATTGTGTCTACCTGTGACTTGTCTACCTAGAACATTGTGTCTACCTGTGACTTGTCTACCTAGAACATTGTGTCTACCTGTGACTTGTCTACCTAGAACATTGTGTCTACCTGTGACTTGTCTCACCTAGAACATTGTGTCTACCTGTCCACTTAGAACATTGTACCTGACTTGTCTACCTAGAACATTGTGTCTACCTGTGACTTATCCACCTAGAACATTGTGTCTACCTGTGACTTGTCCACCTAGAACATTGTGTCTACCTGTGACTTGTCTACCTAGAACATTGTGTCTACCTAGAACATTGTGTCTACCTGTGACTTGTCTACCTAGAACATTGTGTCTACCTGTGACTTGTCTACCTAGAACATTGTGTGTACCTGTGTCTACCTGTGACTTGTCTACCTAGAACATTGTGTCTACCTAGAACATTGTGTCTACCTGTGACTTGTCTACCTAGAACATTGTGTCTACCTGTGACTTGTCTACCTAGAACATTGTGTCTACCTGTGACTTGTCTACCTAGAACATTGTGTCTACCTGTGACTTGTCTACCTAGAACATTGTGTCTACCTGTGACTTGTCTACCTAGAACATTGTGTCTACCTGTGACTTGTCTACCTAGAACATTGTGTCTACCTGTGACTTGTCTACCTAGAACATTGTGTCTACCTGTGAACATTGTGTCTACCTAGAACATTGTGTCTACCTGTGACTTATCTACCTACATTGTGTCTACCTGTGACTTGTCTACCTAGAGAATTGTGTCTACCTGGAACATTGTGTCTACCTAGAACACACGTCTACCTGTGACTTGTCTACCTAGAACATTGTGTCTACCTGTGAACATTGTGTCTACCTAGAACATTGTGTCTACCTGTGACTTGTCTACCTAGAACATTGTGTCTAACTGTGACTTGTCTACCTAGAACATTGTGTCTACCTAGAACATTGTGTCTACCTAGAACATTGTGTCTACCTATTGTGTCTAACTGTGACTTGTCTACCTAGAACATTGTGTCTACCTGTGACTTGTCTACCTGTGACTTGTGTCACCTAGAACATTGTGTCTACCTGTGACTTGTCTACCTAGAACATTGTGTCCCTAGAACATTGTGTCTACCTACATTGACCTGTGACATTGTGTCTACCTGAACATTGACTACCTGTCTACCTAGAACATTGTGTCTACCTGTGACTTGTCTACCTAGAACATTGTGTCTACCTGTGACTTGTCCACCTAGAACATTGTGTGACTACCTAGTGACTTTGTCTACCTAGAACATTGTGTCTACTGTGTCTACCCTAGAACATTGTGTCTACCTGTGACTTGTCTACCTAGAACATTGTGTCTACCTGTGACTCTACCTGAAATATCAGACTTGTCTACCTAGAACATTGTGTCTACTGTGACTGTGTCTGACTTGTCTACCTAGAACATTGTCTACTGGAACATTGTGTCTACCTGTGACTTGTCCACCTAGAACATTGTGTCTACCTGTGACTTGTCTACCTAGAACATTGTGTCTACCTGTGACTTGTCTACCTAGAATATTGTGTCTAACTGGTGACTTGTCCACCTGGAACATTGTGTCTACCTGTGACTTGTCCACCTAGAATATTGTCTCTACCTGTGACTTGTCCACCTGGAACATTGTGTCTACCTGCACATCATGTCAACCTGGGACAATTTGTCTTCATGGATCTACCTGGTACAAGTCAACTGCAGACATTGTTCTACCTGGAACACTATTTCTACCTGGTGTGTTGTACCTACCTGGGGCTATGTCCTGACATGCCACGCCCTGATCCTCTCCGTTCAGGAAGAAGTGCAGACTGCCATCAGAGCATCTCATCATGCCGATGCGTGATCCCACAACGATGGCATCCAGATCAAGTGGGTACCCGTTTCTGATTGTAGAACCATCCTGCATGATCGCTGACCCACTGTGGGAGACATATAGTAGGCTATCAGAGGAAACATACAGTAGGCCATCAGAGGAGACATACAGTAGGCTGGCCATCAGAGGAGACATACAGTAGGGCCATCAGAGGAGACATCACAGAGACATACAGTAGGCCGGCCATCAGAGGAGACATACAGTAGGCCGGCCATCAGAGGAGACATACAGTAGGCCATCAGAGGAGACATACAGTAGGCCATCAGAGGAGACATACAGTAGGCCATCAGAGGAGACATACAGTAGGCCATCAGAGGAGACATACAGTAGGCCATCAGAGGAGACATACAGTAGGCCATCAGAGGAGACATACAGTAGGCCATCAGAGGAGACATATAGTAGTATACAGGCCATCAGAGGAAGACATACAGTAGGCCTTCAGGTCAGACATACAGTAGGCCATCACAGGAGACATACAGTAGGCCATCAGAGGAGACATACAGTAGGCCGGCCATCAGAGGAGACAAACAGTAGGCCGCCATCCATCAGATCCAGAGACATACAGTAGGCCATCAGAGGAGACACAGTAGGCCATCAGAGGAGACATATAGTAGGCCTTTAGTTCAGGAGACATACAGTACATGCCATCAGAGGAGACATACAGTAGGCCAGCCATCAGAGGAGACATACAGAGGGCTGGCCATCAGAGGAGACATACAGTAGGCCATCATCAGGAGACAGGCCATCAGAGGAGGAGATCAGAGGAGACATACAGTAGGCCATCAGAGGAGACATACAGTAGGCGCCATCAGAGGAGACATACAGTAGGCCATAGGCCATCAGAGGAGACATACAGTAGGCCAGCCATCAGAGGAGACATACAGTAGCAGCCGGCCATCAGAGGAGACATACAGTAGGGCCTTCAGTAGGCCAGACATACAGTAGGCCATCAGAGGAGACACACAGTAGGCAGTAGAGCCAGTAGGCCATCAGAGGAGACATACAGTAGGCCGGCCATCAGAGGAGACATATAGTAGGCCATCAGAGGAGACATACAGTAGGCCATCAGAGGAGACATACAGTAGGCCAGCCATCAGAGGAGACATACAGTAGGCCAGCCATCAGAGGAGACATACAGTAGGCCATCAGAGGAGACTTTTTCAAGGTAAGAAAACAATGTGTAAAACCTCTGTCAGTGACAACTGCAACCTTTGCAGTGATAACGCATAAATATGTATTAAGAATTAGGCCTGATAAGCAGAGTTTATTTCTGCAGGCATTTATGTAGTATTCCAAACTAAGTGCCCTTGGCAGTAACTTTGCTAAAAGAATTTGCGATTTTGTTCAAAATTGATACATTTTTTCAATGTTTTTCACCAACAGCACTCATTGTTTTGTGTTGTCCATACTCAAACAGTAGGCTGCTGACATCATATAGTTTGAATATTGCTAAAACCAGGATTAAAGAACAAAAGCCTGAATAACACCAACCTGAGCATCCATGTGTCGTACTCGATGTCGGTCATGGTGTTGGGGAAGTCCAGGTCCTCGGGCTTAATGAGAGTCACTCCTGAAACCAGCGGCAGGTGATAACAGACATGATTAAATTGGACATTTTGTCATGTTCGTAGGTGTTCCAAGTGTATGTCACAAAGAAGAAATTCATTCTAGAGATCGACTTAAAAGTGGCAAAAACATAATCATGTAACACAAACACAACTTACACTGGACTGCTATTTTTTAAAATTCATGCAAGCCGAATGTTCTACAATTTCTCAGATAGCATGGATAGTCTTTATTAAGGTATGGGACTTACGACAGTCGTAGTGCTACAACCATCACACGTGTGTGTGTAAAGTAAGGGGACTTCGACAGTCATTTGAGTACTAACATCATGTCTGTGTTACTGTATGGGACTTACAACAGTCATGGTGCTACAACCATCACACGTCTGTGTTAAAGTATGGGACTTACGACAGTCGTAGTGCTACAACCATCACGTCTGTGTTAAAGTATGGGACTTACGACAGTCGTAGTGCTACAACCATCACGTCTGTGTTAAAGTTAACGAGTATAGGACTTCATATCGACGTATGTCGACAGTCATAGTGCTACAACCATCACACGTGTGTTAAAGTTATGAGGACTTCGACAGTCATGGGACTTCTGTGTTTAAAACTTCACGAGTCATAGTGCTACAACCATCACACGTGTGTGTTAAAGTATGGGACTTACGACAGTCATTAGTGCTACTAACATCACCCGTCTGTGTTAAAGTATGGGACTTCACGACGGTCATAGTGCTACTAACATCATGTCTGTGTTAAAGTATGGGACTTACGACAGTCATAGTGCTACAACCATCATGTCTGTGTTAAAGTATGGGACTTCGACAGTCATAGTGCTACTAACATCATGTCTGTGTTACTGTATGGGACTTCACGACAGTGCGTAGTGCTACTAACATCATGTCTGTGTTAAAGTATGGGACTTCACGACAGTCGTGAGTGCTACTAACATCATGTCTGTGTTAGAAGTATGGGACTTCACGACAGTCATAGTGCTACTAACATCATGTCTGTGTTACTGTTTGGACTTCGGACAGTCGTAACAGCTACTAACATCATGTCTGTGTTAGAGTATGGGACTTACGACAGTCGTAGTGCTACTAACATCATGTCTGTGTTAAAGTATGGGACTTCACGACAGTCGTGTGCTACAAACATCATGTCTGTGTTAAAAGTATGGGACTTTACGACAGTCATGAGTGCTACTAACATCATGTCTGTGTTAAAGTATGGGACTTACGACAGTCATAGTGCTACTAACATCATGTCTGTGTTAAAGTATGGGACTTACGACAGTCATAGTGCTACTAACATCATGTCTGTGTTAAAGTATGGGACTTACGACAGTCATAGTGCTACAACCATCATGTCTGTGTTAAAGTATGGGACTTACGACAGTCATAGTGCTACTAACATCATGTCTGTGTTACTGTATGGGACTTACGACAGTCATAGTGCTACTAACATCATGTCTGTGTTACAGTATGGGACTTACGACAGTCATAGTGCTACTAACATCATGTCTGTGTTAAAGTATGGGACTTACGACAGTCATAGTGCTACTAACATCATGTCTGTGTTAAAGTATGGGACTTACGACAGTCGTAGTGCTACAACCATCATGTCATGTGTTAAAGTATGGGACTTACGACAGTCGTAGTGCTACTAACATCATGTCTGTGTTAAAGTATGGGACTTACGACAGTCGTAGTGCTACTAACATCATGTCTGTGTTAAAGTATGGGACTTACGACAGTCATAGTGCTACAACCATCATGTCTGTGTTAGAGTATGGGACTTACGACAGTCGTAGTGCTACTAACATCATGTCTGTTTTAAAGTATGGGACTTACGACAGTCATAGTGCTACTAACATCATGTCTGTGTTAAACTATGGGACTTACGACAGTCATAGTGCTACAACCATCACACGTGTGTGTTAGAGTATGGGACTTACGACAGTCATAGTGCTGCTAACATCACGTCTGTGTTACTGTTTGGACTTACGACAGTCGTAGTGCTACTAACATCATGTCTGTGTTAAAGTATGGGACTTACGACAGTCATAGTGCTACTAACATCATGTCTGTGTTAAAGTATGGGACTTACGACAGCATAGTGCTACTAACATCATGTCTGTGTTAGAGTATGGGACTTACGACAGTCGTAGTGCTACTAACATCATGTCTGTGTTAGAGCATGGGACTTACGACAGTCGTAGTGCTACTAACATCACGTCAGTGTTAGAGTATGGGACTTACGACAGCCGTAGTGCTACTAACATCATGTCTGTGTTAGAGTATGGGACTTACGACAGTCATAGTGCTACTAACAACATGTCTGTGTTAGAGTATGGGACTTACGACAGTCGTAGTGCTACTAACATCACGTCTGTGTTAGAGTATGGGACTTACGACAGTCGTAGTGCTACTAACATCACGTCTGTTTTAAAGTATGGGACTTACGACAGTCGTAGTGCTACTAACATCATGTCTGTGTTAGAGTATGGGACTTACGACAGTCGTAGTGCTACTAACATCATGTCTGTGTTAGAGTATGGGACTTACGACAGTCGTAGTGCTACTAACATCACGTCTGTGTTAGAGTATGGGACTTACGACAGTCGTAGTGCTACTAACATCACGTCTGTTTTAAAGTATGGGACTTACGACAGTCATAGTGCTACTAACATCATGTCTGTGTTAGAGTATGGGACTTATGACAGTCGTAGTGCTACTAACATCACGTCTGTGTTAGAGTATGGGACTTACGACAGTCGTAGTGCTACTAACATCATGTCTGTTTTAAAGTATGGGACTTACGACAGTCATAGTGCTACTAACATCATGTCTGTGTTAAACTATGGGACTTGCGACAGTCATAGTGCTACAACCATCACACGTGTGTGTTAGAGTATTGGACTTACGACAGTCATAGTGCTACTAACATCATGTCATAGTGCTACTAACACCATGTCATAGTGCTACTAACATCATGTCATAGTGCTACTAACATCATGTCATAGTGCTACTAACACCATGTCATAGTGCTACTAACACCATGTCATAGTGCTACTAACATCATGTCATAGTGCTACTAACATCATGTCACAGTGCTACTAACACCATGTCACAGTGCTACTAACACCATGTCAGCCAGTGCTACTAACACCATGTCGTGTGTCTGTGTTAAGTATGCTACTAACACCATGTCATAGTGCTACTAACATCATGTCTGTGTTAAAGTATGGGACTACTAACACCATGTCAGTGTTAAGTGCTACTAACATCATGTCTGTGTTAAAGTATGGGACTAACGACATGTCAGTAGTGCTACTAACATCATGTCTGTGTCAAAGTATGGGACTTGCGACAGTGTAAGTGCTACTAACATCATGTCTGTGTTAAAGTATGGGACTTATGACAGTCAGTGCTACAACCATCACGTCTGTGTTAAGTATGGGAAGTCAGTGTTTTTTAATAACAGTCTTCAGATTTGTTTGTAAATCTCCAATACTTAAACACACAAAGGCCATCATTTTGAAAGTCTACTTCAGCAGAAGAGTCAAGATTGTTAGTTCATAATTTCAGGTTAATGAACAAAGTGAGTGAGTTAGGACTTTAGTTGGGTGTCAGTATCAGCAACATTTCATGTACATTACAGCTTGCCAGCTGGACGTGCGAGGTAAGTCCAAGGTGATGCAGGTCTGAAGCCTTTACCACAATGGAGAAACCCATGATGCTGACAGGGTGGAGGGAAATGAATGAATAAATATTGTTTTACACCGCATTAGTAAAATAAAGTCCATGCAAAGCAGCAACTGTCCACAGAGGAAGCAACAGGACACACAGCAAGATGAGCATCTCACACATCCTTTCCCAGGAAAACAAAAATACAGCTAATTTTATTACATTTGATTTGGTCAAACATGAAATCTGTTAAATAATAATGCAGAAACCAACACAAAGACACAGCTCCATAGGGGTGAAATGGTACACTTCTTACAGTACGGTACGTATTATTGCGGTACAAGGCCTTCGGTTCGGTCCGGTTCGATTCGGTCCGCTTTGGTTTGGTATATGAGAACTTACTTCGGGAAAATAGCGGCTGTCTTGCAAAGAAATGCATAGATTTTGAAAAACTGACTCGATTTCTAGACATTTTAGAATTTTTATTCAAAAGTAACTAAAATGACGGTACGAAATCCGAAAATACTGAAGTTTTGGATTGCAATACGGTATACCGAACCGAAGAGAAAACAAATACCGCGGTATACCATTTCACCCCTACAGCTTCACCTATTGTCAAGTCCAACAGTTACTAAGATTGCTCCACGACACTAGGCCTAGGTTCATAGTCTGGAGTGAGTGAGTGAGTATGGTTTAACACCCTTTTTAGCAATATTCCAGCAATATCACGGCGGGGAACACCAGAAATGGGTTTCACACATTGTACCCATGTGGGGAATCAAACCCAGGTCTTCGGCGTGACGAGCCAAAGCTTTAACCACTAGGCTACCCCACCGCCCTCATAGTCTGGAGACTTATACTTGCCCTTAGTCAGAAACATCAGGTATATTCGATTGGTACAGGTCATTATGAATGGAAATGATTGCATAGATTCAAAGTGTCTTTATAAAAATTTTTACAGCATCTTAAACATAAACAGACAATATTATTTTGCTGCTTTAGTATGGTTTCATCCATTGTTACCAGCAGAGATTCAAAGTGGATATGATCTGTCTCGAATACCTGGTATCTCGGAATAAGGGTGTACCTGAAACCATATTGCTTGGATAACAGTATTGTCTTCAGTGTTTGAAATTAACTACTCGAATTCTTGGGACAGCAATATCAAAAACGCTGTGCATTAGTGTAAGGACAAGGGCCTCTGATGATCTGAGCATCAACCCTGTATCGACTTCAATAGCTTGGGGATCAGCCCACACCTCTGGGCCAAGTTCCACAAAGTGTCTTTGTGACACAACTATCATAAGTCCCAT